CGGGTCGTTTCGCCAAGAAGCTGCGCCTTCCGTACGCGCTGGTAGCTAGGTGCGGGGCAACGATGAGAACACGTGGACTAATATTTCCTAGGACGGCGTACCGGATCGTCTCCCATGAGCGCACCGCAAGGGGAACGTCTTTTCTCCCAGAGACCTGCAGCGTGATCGCGAGTGTAAGGCCGTCTTCGAGAGCTTGACTCGCTCCCTGGATACTCGTCCTGCGCCACGTTAGCTGTGCCGTCGGTCTCACATGAGGGGGACGCATACGGGAGGAATGGATGCTACGCAGCGCAGTATCGGTAAGAAGACAGCACAGACGGGAGCTTCGAGGTCCTCACCGCTGCATCTCCAATGAGCGCAAGCCGCGCCTCCTTGCTGATCCACGTTGGCAGAGGGTCGCGGTACACGAGTTTCCAGTCGACGCAGCTGTCAGTCTTCTGCCAGATGGCAGCGCATCGCGGGTCCCAGCCTTCCACGACCTTCAGGACCTCCTCCATCTTGCCCTATTCAGCGCCTTAAGCACAGCTCGCTATCACAACAGGTTCCGTACTGGGAAAGACCAAGACTCTTCGATATCGGCGTCATCTCTGCAAACAGCCTCTCAGGAAGGACGGCATAAGAGCGAAGGAGCTCGTACTTGTGCGTCATGACCACGGATAAGGCACCACCGTTGCGCGAGCTTGAAGCAAGCATGTGCACATCGCGTCCTGTATTTCCGTCAGCACAGTCGAGGTGCGGCTCAACGTACCAATCCATCCAAAGAAAGCATCTCCGTCCTTGACCAGATAGTCCGTCAGCGGATCCGCGTCGTATCCCGCCGCCTTCGTGTCGAAGCACCACGCCCGATATCTGACGCTGATGTTAATGCAGGATGAGGGGGGCGATGGTTGTCGGTGGCGTGCGTAGCGTGAGCTGTTGTGTTTGTCTTGTCATCCCTGCCTTCCATGGTTATGGTGCGTGGACTGCACCGCCTAGCGTATGGCTTGCCGGGCGGGGTGTTGGTTCTTTGCTTTGCTCCGCATCTGCTCCGCGCCGGCCGTGGGGTGCTCTGCTCTGGGCTTTGCGTTGGAGGCCAGGTTCTTTTGTTGTGTCGTCTTCCTGTGTTCCGTTGCACTGGAGGCGTGTTGGGTTGGGATGCGCTGGGGTATGGTCTTGTCCTATCTGGTGTGGTTGTGCTCGGTGGGGTTTGTGTTATTGGGGTGCGCGGTGGTGTGTTTTTTGTGGGTGCTGTGTTGGGTGCTTCTTTTCTTGGTTTTTTTGTTGTTGCGATTGTTCTGTTGCGTCGCGTTAGGTTTGGTGTGGTGTGGACCGTGCCTTGCTTCCCGTTTCGTTTTGTGTTGGGTGCGGGCAGCCCCTGCCCTGGTGGGTTGGGTTGTCATGTTCGTCCGTCGGTCGAGGAGCGTGCTTGTTTTTTGTTCCCGCGTTGTTTGTGGTTCGTTCTGCCTTGTTTGTGACGGAGATGTTTTATCTCTGGGCTCGTTTCTGTACGCTCCCTTCGCTCGTTGTTCGTCCGGACGTCGCTTGCCTGTAGCTCGGTCGGTCGGGTGGATATTTATTCAGCACGCCCTGCCTAGTGGCTTGCTTTCGGTGCGCTTCTTTCTGGTGGTTGGTTGGTTGGTGTTGCTTTTGTTTTCTCTCTCTCGCGCCCGCCCGGCCGGGCCAGCGCGGGCGATGGTTGTTTTTCTTGCTGTCGGTGGGGGCAGGGGCATCTCTATGAGAGCGAGCAGGGCGCTGGCCGGGCGAGGTCGTTCTTCTTTTTTCTCTCGCGCGCGTTCGTTCGGGGTTCGTTGGTTGCTCGCGGGGGGCGCGTGGGCATGGTTGGTCTTTCTTTTTTTTTTCTGTATCGGGCAGGCGCGGGATGCATGACGACGGGGGGGGAGGATTGTGTGCATGGAATATATGACCATTGCGGAACGGTGAGCATTCGGTGCTTGATCTAGTATGAGGGAGGAAGCCAAGTGCCGTTGCGGCTCTATCGGCAAGGCCCAAGCGTCTTACTCAAACAGCAATTACATTACGGCCTACGCGTAGCTAACATGAATGAGTAACTTATGTGCGACGACGAGGGCGCACTACCTACTATAGGATACATACATGATTACGATGTGCGTGTGTGTAACGAACAATGCGTGTGGTGCGATTGTGACAGGGACATGATGCAGTGAAGTGCAAGCACAGAGGGACGTGCGGATTATATATGATGACTCGTAAGGTGCGACTTGATGCAGGTGGGTTGATAGTGAACTGACGAAGACGAATAGTTGATGTGGGTGTGGGATAGGATAGGGATGGGGATGTGGGCAAGCGCTTCGGCGCTGCCAATGAACGAGAAAACTTCGCGGACGCCACTCGTGCCCAAGTATAAACAGAAGAAATATGAAAGAGAAGGCGACGCGACCTTATATCGCCAGGTCAGGGAACTGCGCACGGATCCACGGGTGGCGCACGACGCTCTCGATTGTGAGCCGCAGTTCCGGGTTAGGGTGCAGACAGCGCTGCACGAGGTCGAGGCAGCACGACACCGCGCGCGAGTCCGACCAGCGGTCGTTCGGGAAGAACCTCGGCAGGTGCATGTCTGCCGTCCGCGCAGCCTCGTCGTCCACGAACGGCGAGCAGCCCCAGACGATGTTGCAGAGCAGGATGCCCAGCGTCCAGATCTCTGCAGGTCGCGCGAGATACAGCTTACGATTCATGATCTCTGCCAGGACGGGTCAGAATGGTGACGGAGACAGATGGAGACGACGTACCGCTTGAAGCATATGTTGGTGTGCCGTAGAAGATTGAATAAACAGGGGAAGGGGCCGTCGTGTCCTCTTGCACAGCGGAACCGAAGTCGATAAGTTTGACCTGGTCGACAGCGTCAGCGTCGTCCTGCCAGAGGTAAGCAGACCACTCACCCTCAGGTTTCGGTCGATAAGAATGTTCTCGTCCTTGATGTCGCGGTGGATGACGCCCCGCTCATGCATGTACAACACCGCGTCGGCGATCTGCGCAAAGACGTACTGCGCCTCCTCCTCGGAGAGCTGGTTGTGCTCAATGCACTCGAAGAGGTCCTGCGACGGCCGGCGCGAGCACAGTGCCGGACGGAGGATGTTGAGGTGCGGCGCGTTCTTCAGATGCTCGGGCAGCTCGAGGACGGGGTTCGGGTTGGTCTCCTGCCACTCGCCGTCGAGCTCGTCGAGGTTGGGACGGTAGTACTCGCGACGCGTCGGGCTGTTCTGAGGCGACGCGTGCTTCGCCCATGGGGACCCGTGCAGCTCCAGCACCTGTTGGACCATGTCAGTGCCACAGTCCCTCAACACGGCGAGTACGTACGAGGTAGAAATACGCGCCGTCCTCGAAGACGTCCAGACACGATATGATGGACGGGTGCTCAAGCGTAAGGAGCAGATACGCCTCGACAGGAAGACGCCCGCCGTTGCGTGGGTCGACCGCCCATTGCTCGGGTCCGAGATGCGACTTCTTGACGAACTTGACCGCGACCTCCTCGCCGGTCGTGCGCACGTGTGCGGTCAGCACGAAGCCGTAGCCGCCCGAGCCGATCTCGCCATTGAGCGCGTACTTGAGGAGGAAGTCGGCGCACAGGACGTGCTCGGGCTGGAAGTGGTCGGAGTACGTGCTCCCGAGTCGACGCAGAGGAGCCGGGCGGGCGGGAGGCGTCGGCGTGTCCTCACTGGTGGACGACCATGGCGTCGGGCGCTGGCGTGGGGTGTGCGGCGACGTTGGCGGGAACGAGAAGCCGACGGGCGCAGACTCGGGCTCTGCGACGAGCACGGGAGAGTCGTCGAACGCGAATGACTTGACGGTGTGCGGCGAAAGAAGCGAGACGGGGGAGGACAGAGAGGCCGACTCTTCGGTCTCTGTCTTGATTGTCGACAAGGAGCTGAAGCTCGAGCGGCGGTCGTCCACCAAGTCTTTGTCGCTCAGCGACACGGTCGACGCGTTCGCGGCGCAACGTGATTGGAAGGAGGTTACAGACGCCTGCGCAGATGCGAGAAGAGGGCGCTCTTCCTCCGACTCGTCCAGCGCCGTCGACGGACGTCCGCAGACTGGATTCCCTGGTCGCGTCTCCGGCTGACGCAGCGGCGATGGATCAGGAGTCAGGGGAGCAGTCGTCGTCGTGGACTTGGACTTGAAGACGCGGGAGGGCAGGATGGAGCGAAGGACGCCTTGGATGTTGAAGGAGCCCAGCGGCGAGCGGATGGACGAGAAAGGAGTGCGTCTGCCCGGCGTGTATGGGGGCGAGAGCGGGAACTGGGGCAGAGGCGGGACAGGCGGGACGCCGTCGTCGTCCAGGTTGCCTGCAGTCGGCGGCGCGCCGGGCTGGGACTGGGCGCGTGGGCGCGTCTTGACCGGCGTCACCGGCGGCGTCGCGTTAGACAGACGTCCCTTGGCGCGGCGCAGACGTGGCGATGGCAGCGTGTCCAACATGTCGCTCGGCGCCCAACGAGCCCCTATGAGCGTCTTGGTCGTACGAGTGCGAAGGAGAAAGGGTACGACGAGTCCAAGCGGAGCAACGGAGCCGGGGCGGTAATCAACGCGGCAGAATATAGGGGTAGCCTCGCGCGTCATTCAGGAGACTCTGACGAAGAGCCCAAAATTCCATAGTCCCAAGGCGAGCAGAGGTTGTTCACCAGCGGGGAACCTGAGCCTGCAGCTGGCCGGTTTCAAGTACTGCTAGTCGTCGAAGGAACATGGGTGTGGGGACCAGGGTCCAGACAACGTCGAATATAGTTCTCGATACTCCAGGTCATATGCGCGCCAGTAGAGTTCAGAGAAGTAGAGTTATTGCCAGGGTCGACCATCGGACATGGAGGTTCCAGATTAAGAGCCAAACAGGTTGAGTCTCCGAGTCTGCCGCGAGAAAAAGTAGGTGGACAACACAGTGCGACCTGATAATTACGATATCGCTCCGCAGTGCCGTTGCTCACACGTGCATGAGTGAAGAAGGTGCGTGGGTTAATAAGGACCAAAGAAGGGAGTGAAGCCGAGCAAAACTCTGACCGTACCCTGATTCGAACAGGGGTTAATGGAAGATGCTTAAGCATCAGAATCCACTGTGATAACCACTACACTATACAGCCATGCTGGGAATTTTACAGGTTACATATATATAAAGCGTATATCTGGAAGCCTCAGTGAGCTGTTGGTCTTGGCTGAAACCCCTTTGCGCCGGCCGTCTACTGCGGAACTTCAACTTGCTGCGCTGCTGCGTAACGCAGTTGCTTGTTTGTAAATGTATTCGTTGTACCCTTTCCTTCTGCCCACACCCGGTAACTTGAGCATGGACGGCCCTGACGAAGCAACACCTGGTCCTGGACTCGGTTCCGACGAGCGAGCGGAGGCCCCGCCGAATGATGAAACAACACAGTCGCGACTGATGAAAATTCCTCGACGCCCGTCCCTTCTCTGGCACGTTGGCATAGCGCACAACAGTGCCGTTCCACTGATCCCTATATGAAGGGCACTTCCAATCTTCGGGATATCCGCTTTTGTTGCTGCCCTTCGCGCTGCGGCCATGTCCTGGATTCTCTTCCGACTTGCATGTCGCATTGCACATCCCACCGAGGACCCGTGGAGCCTGACATCGAGTCGCGCTCCAATTCTAACCCTAAACCTCATTCTGAGGGAGCCGCTCTCATACTCTGTTGGGCTGCGTAGTGAGTCGTCGCCGAACGAGACCCAGGGTCCCAATATTGGTGGTCACTGCAACCTTATGGACCCATACTTTGGCAATGCCTACCTCCTCTTCCTGAGTACGTTCCAAGGCTATACATTCATATGCGGTATTAAACGGCATCTTAGCCCTCCCGGCCTCAATATTGATTTTGAACTTCTGCGGTAGAGCTTGGTGGGGCCACGTGCGTCCACGGCGTCGCCACGTTTACGGGCGCATCGTTCATTACCCTACCAGCGCGCAGACATATGGGGCCGCAATGCCGTGATTGCTGTGTGTGCTGCAGCTACCGCGATTCAGTGCGTGGAATTATGCATACAGCGCCTTGAAGCTGGACGATCTCATGAGTCTACCGCGTAGTGACGTGAACCTTCTGCTTGTCTATCGCTTCTTCCCACCAGGTGCCTTTATTTGGCTGCTTCCTGGTACCCTCATTGCTGGCCTTCTGGGTGGTAAGCGTTTGATCAGTCCGGGGATGAGCCAAAGGCTGACCAACTACAGGAACCTTGGCCGAATCTGCTATGTTGGCATACCTCGTTGACTGCACACCCCCAAAGCATCGGTACGTTGCGACATCCAGCATTAACATGTATCTAAGGCTGCTTCTCAGATCCGCCATACTGTCCTTCAATGCAGGAGTAGGCTTTGCGGCCGCAGGACTGGCCTTCGTCATCGGGCAAAAAGTCGCTAGTCTTTCTGAACACCCAAGCACTTCGATCCTAATCTCAATCGCGTGGAGCTCTATCGTGGTGTTGCTCTGGTATTTCGTTGTCCCCGAGAGCCTCACACACGCGATCCGTGAGGTCAACGCCCTGGACACCATGGAACGCGATACGGGAACCACGGCGCAGAGCGGCAGTTCCTCGCGCGTAGGCCAAGGATTACGTTCATTGGTCCAACCACTACGCATGATGAAACCCCCGTTCAAGAACCCGCAAGACCCAAGTATTGGCAACGATTATACCCTAATTAAAATTGCGGGTATTCTCATCCTCGTTCTTGCGAGTTCTGTACGTGTATTCAGTCTGTGACACTATCCCTCCCGTTCACATGCGATTACCCCAGCACGCATCAAGCTCATTCCTATTCTCATGGTTATTGTGGCTCCTTCGAAGTCTGCCTATAGTATGTACTAGGTATCCAGCCGCGAATCTCGATTGTATTCGCTGACTAGATGTAGAATGATTGGCACGAGACGGGATTCTTGCCCTGGCCGTTCTGCAGAGCCGGCTTGTTTATTCTGCTTTTCCCAGGTAAGCTGAACTGAACCGCTGCACTACTACATGTCCACTGATCTGTACACGTTACACTGCGCAGGGCTTATCTATCTCTGTCAGAAAATGGAGCGGCGTGATTCCGCCGTTGCCCTGAGCGGTCCAGACGACCGACTCCTGGAAACTGCTGCTGCCCCGGATCCGCAGACCGACACAATCCCCGACGATAGTCATCCTCCAGTGCAAACTGCGACTTCTTGGTCGGACTTATCAGTGATTAGGATCCTGGTAGTGTGCAGCGCACTATCGTACGCCACGTCGTTCATCCCAGGAGCATATCCCTTCATCAGCAATATGGTTGGCCTGGCGCTCAGCGCGGGCATCTTGCCGTGCGCCCAGTCTCTAGGCCTCGCAGTGTTTCCTGCGCGAGAGACTCACGTTGGGACATTTTTCGGAGCCTTTAGTGTTGTTGTCGAACTCGGGTGCGTGCAACTTCTGCGTGGTCACCGCCCCGAGCTAATGGTGGTGGTAGTCTAATCCTGCCTGCTGTCTTGAACTACGTAATTTCGTCTCTCTTGGAGATGTTCCGCCATCCCCTATTTATTGTGCTCCTTGCTATCGTTTGGCTCTTCCTGTCCTACTTACTCTCAATGTTCGTGAGACGTCCCAGAATGTAGACCAGCAGTCGGGTTTATTCGACGAAAATTTCATGACACGGGTACTCAGCACCGTGAGTCAAGTTCAAGGCGTGTACTTCGTGAGCTGGACGTTCCGAGTCTGGAAGGTTGCGCCAGCGGCAGGACCAGGCGATCCCGAGCTTCCCTCCATCTGAACGTGCGGATGAGCTCGGCTCAGCATCTAGAAGCATCTTCTGAGCGTACCTGAAGGTCGAGAATCAGCCACATCGCTGCGCCACGGAAGTTCGCAGCGGTATGCGTCGCCTGCAGAACGCCGTCCAGGTAGTACTTGATAGAGAGATCCTTGGTGTTCCCAGAGATCGGACGCAGCTCAGCTTTCAGCGCGTGGAATTGGCCGTCGTTCGGCCAGGTCACGATCTTCGAGGCCACGGCGGAGGATGTACTTCAGAGTGGCAAAGACATTAGCAAATGCGGAGAGGACGGCGCATTCGACGCACTTGAAAGTGTTGAACCAGTTTTGCTGCGTTCCTAAAAGAAGTGAATATAAATCGAAAGCCCCGATCACAAGGCTTAACCTTTCCATTCACCAATGTCAGCCTCCGGAGGCCAGCCATTCACGGCCTCATGCATGATGGTTAGTACAGCAGTCACAATGAGGTCTAATAAGGCTTACCGTGAGCCAGAACGCCGGCCATGTCCCTTTCGCAGTGGACGCGATGAATTCTCCTTGGACATCGTAACCCGTGATGCTCGTGCCATCGACGACGACTTGCTGCTTGGCGTGAACGGTGCCAGAGAAATAGTGTATGGCGGGATGCGGGTTAGACGTGCTACAGTTCCACGTGAGCGATTCTTGCGAAATTCGCGAAGAAGAAGAAGACGATGCGTGGACTAACCTCGGGGGCTGGCCAGCAGGCGCTGGCTTTGCGGTCAAGGTAAGAACGTTGTTGGCGACGCTAATGTACGTGTGCTCTGTGGAATTTCCAATCATACGGGCGGCTGTGGGATATCGCGAGTCAGTCTTCGCCTCGAGCGGTCCCCGTTGCAAGACGAACAGCCGTTATGGTCGGATCCCCATGGGTAAAGATAGTTCCAGTATTGCTGGAATGTCGTGTACGAAGTAAAGGAGGACGTAGGAAGTACGACCGTTGTCGCTGCGCTGGCCAGCACAGCAAACGCAATGGGAGTCAAGCCACGGAAGAGCATAGCAAGTCGTTGGTGGCGAGCGAGTGAAGGGAGATCCTTATATATCCAGTTGACGACCCCCGAGATCTCCAGAATTGAGGTCATGCATGCTCCACGCGAGGCGCATGTGGCTGAGAGAAGACAGAAGTAGGATCATGGCACGCAGGTGACGCTCCGAGATTGAGACGCCAGCGCGACCGGGCCGTCGGGCTCGGGAAGTACAGCAGCCGGAGCGAACAGACATAGAATAGACTGAAATGGGCGGCGTGTGACCATGTACTCTTTGTTCCAGGAATCCGAAGCAAGTCGCTTCCCGGGATGAGATGAGAAGCGAAGAGCACAAGTGACCGCCATGCCGTCCGCCTAGTAGCCACCTGGACTACTACTCACACCCCCCGGATAGTTATTTCAAGGTCCTGTATGTGAATATTCGCATCTGGTTTCGCTAGTGTCGAGAAGGAGGACAAGGCGCGGCACCCATTCCAACTCAGCCCCGTGCCCTGCTTTCTCGCGCTTTCTCGGCATCCCCCCACTACTACTACCCCTGAGCCACGGACATCCGCGGATGTGTTAAAACGTTGCGCGCTCACGCATCTCATTGTCTTGCAACGGCCTAGCTCGTTGGTGGCCGTCAACGCTCGCTACGCGACCTTTGCCTCATTGCGCAAGTTCTCGGTCTTCGTGCCATTTCACGCGCATCTGCTTGGGTACCTGTGCTACGTACGCTAAGGTCACTACTGACTATTAACTTAACAAAACCATGGTCTCAATATGACCACGCGAGATGGCTTGACCAGGGCTTGCTGTTTGTGTCGCATTTCCTTTCGGGGACGGCCCGCCACCGATTCGTTTCTCCCAGGCTGGTATAGCGTTGGGGGCTCGCTACCTGCCCGGCGTGGTCTGCGTGGTTCGTTTTCTTCTCAAGACTTATAAAACGTCCAGGAACCCGCAAACGCGATGTCACACGAACTCTCACACCGCACACCGCCATGGAGGACAAAGGTTTGAACGACACAACGGCTCCCGGGCCTGTGACTCTAGTATAACGGTTCGGACGTTGTGTTTCGCTGTGTTTTTCCATTTGGCAAGGAGTTCAATCCCGGCCTGAGCCTGTCTTTTTGCAACTTGATAAATATGCCGGTAACCAGATAAATGGACTCTGAGATGGGATAGTGGGTCATATGGGCATGCTTTCTTATTAAATTTCTCACACCCTAGTGTCCTGCTATTTGGTGTAATGAAGTGTAAGTCTCTACAGTATAGCAGACTGGTGCAGTTGCTGCTTCGGTCGGGTCTCAACAAAGGGAGATGATATTTCAATAGAGTACTACTTGTAGTCTGGTCAACTCCTAGAGAAAAATCCACCTGAT